CCCCACAGCCCCTTCAGAAAGGCTTAAGCAACTCAAAAATGGCTTTTATTTCATAATATACCAGATATCATTTTACTTTATCAGTAATAATGACCTTTTATTAAATAACAATAATCAATACTGTAGGCGAAACTTGTAACAAACTCCAGTGAGGCGAGGCGAGCCGAATGTAGAACCCAAATGCAGTTTAATATCTTAAACGTGAAACTAATACAAAATAAACAAAGGCTTGGCTTGACAAAACATGAAGCTAACTTGACAACAGACTCACCAACAGCAGGTTGAAACAAACATAATACACAACAAAGTTTTTTTTTTTAATTAAAGAAATTAAGGATGCAATGCCAATGCAATACCTTAATCAAAAGTAACCGTAAAGTCTAAATGCTGTTCTTTTGAAGAATAAAGCTTTTACAAAAATATTAAGTAGCACAAATGTTCATTAACAAATCAGCATTAGAATCATTTCTGAAGGATCATGTGACACCAAAGCCTGGAGTACTGGCTTCTGAAAATTCAGCTTTGCCATCATAGGAATAAATTACATTTTAAACTATATTACATTTTTATAATCAAAAAATATATATTTTACATATTTTTATATATTTTAACATTAAAATAAAAACCAAAATTTTAAACTGTAATACTATTTCACACTATTACTGTTTTACTGTATTTTTGATCAAATAAATGAAGTCTTGGTGAGCATAAGAGACATCTTACTAAAACATTAAACAAACGTGTCAATTCTTTCTTTCAAAAGGAGCTGAATGTGTTAGGGCATTAACTAAAAAAATCTTGTGATTAACTACTTTAATATTCTGACAGCCCTAATTTAACCCAATTAGTCATAATTTATGTTGAATAGGTTTAACAAAGGGAAAAAAAATCACTGTAGTAAACTACAGACAAAACAGAACACCACTAATTCATTTTGAAGTATGCAGTGCATCGCAGACTATATTTTTCTTTAATTACATTTCAGCCTTTGTGGTTTATCGTGCAAGGGAATATCAATTTTGATTGAATCAATTGTGCAGCTCCAACCACTACTCAAATATATCTTGAAATAAATGAAGTAACTACATTATTGACATACTTCTGCTGAATATTCATCATGATCAAGCTTCAATCCATGAGCTACAGACTGCAATCATTGAACCATGAAGCTATAAGGGCAGCGCTGAATCTCTGCATCTGTAAAATTAAAATTAATCACTGCATAGTTTATCTGGGATCCTGTTGTTTGCTGTAACTACCAGTAGCCATGGCAACCGGAAAACGGGCTAGGCGGGTATAGAATGAAATGCAGTGGGTGAGGTCAGAGGTCATGTGATACGATGTGCCACTGAGGAAGAGAGCCGGATGGTTAGACAGAGAAAAAGAGGAATGCTTTGAAAGAGAAAAATGGAAAGATGGAGAAAGAGAAATTATGGAATGGGGAGAGTCTGGAATTTTTCCAGCCACTGCTCTCTCTCTCTCTCCATCTCTGCCCTGGAATTCATCCGAAACTTGCAGTGATTCTGCGATAGCAGCATCACTATTGACATTCATGCTGGCAACAAACAGCATCTGATTTAGGAGAGATCTGATGACACATAAACATCATTTGGAAAGGGGACAGACCGGTCAAAGTCAATCAATTTTGACCAGGGATTTGAATAAATATGAATATTCAACATGGCTACAAAGGCAAATTAATACCCTTTCGGTATGCTAAACATCTATATGCACAACCCTATGATATCACATAACATTCAAAGGTGTTTGAATAATTTCTAGTCAGCTGTGACACAGAAAAGACACTCTGTGATTCATACGAAAGTCACAAGCATGTGCTCATGATATCACTGTGATACATCTGTGTGTTCCAGGCGAAATGATCATCATATTTTAGAGCATAAACAGAGCTCTGAGTGGATGATACACCCACACTACATGGTTTGGACTATCGTACGAGCGGGTGTAAGGCAAATACATGAATTGCACATAAAATCACTAGGAGCTTTCAAACTGGTACTTGTTCCCCTGTGAATGTCCTATCGCTTGAGTGAAGGTCAAATGGCTTGTTTCTTCTTGCATCTTCATGAAATGAGGAAAAGGTGATTGATAAGTGAAGAGACAAGTGAGGTCAGAACTAGTAGAGAGGCATCAATCCCAGATGAAGATGAATGTAAATAATTCAACCTTACAGATGCTCCAATTGAGATGACACCACCCACAAGGGTCAGCATCAAAGACGAAAGTCTAATATTTTCACCCAATTTAGAAAGTGCTATATTTTCTGACCAACATACACTGCATGATAACATAGTGAATTAATTATTGGGTTTGACCATTTCAGAAAATCCCTATAGCTATGTTAGAGTGGAAAGCCATTCAAGAAGTGAGTGGTTGAGAGGGTTTGGGGTTGGTAAGATTTTTTAAATATTTTTAAGAAGTCTCTCCTGCACACCTAGGTTGTGTTTATTTATTAAAAACACAGCATACAAAGATGAAAGAGATCCGCACTCCTCCAAATGCAGCTAAAAAGTCAGCTTTTCAATAGCTATAAAATTTAGGTCTAAGAGTGAATGAGACATCTCAACAAAATGGCGAGCCACAGGCGATTTTAAATCTTTCCTCCTAATAGCGCTCATATGCTCAATGATCCGAGTTCTAATTTGTCTATTTGTCTTACCCACATATTGTTTTATACACAAACAAGATAACAGATAAATCACATTAGTGCAAGCACATGATACCAGTTGTTTAATTTTATATGTGCGATCAGTTATACAACTCAAAGCATCTTTTGCGTACATTTTTACATGCAGCGCATTTGAGACAAGGAAAAAAATTAAAACATGTTTTAATGAGCGCAGGTGTTGCTTGGTAGCACATGGCACTGAGGAAGGGTTAATACCCGAAAACGTTCTGCACTTGCACTTTTGCACTTCTTTCTACATATTTTTGTGACCTCTGAATAATAAATGGAATAAGCTTTTTTAGCTGCATTTGGAGGAGTGTGGATCTCTTTCATCTTTGTATCTTTGTATATTTTGGATCTACGCACCATATGCTTTTGTCTACTGGATTTTTGGACGAGTGTCTGGCGCTACTGCCTTTTTTGTGGATTAAAAATACAGCAAAAATAATATTATTGTGATATTATTAGAATTTTAAATATCCGTTTTCTATTTTAATATATTTAAAATGTAATTTATTTCTTTGTTAGCAAAACCGAATTTTTAGCAGCCATTACTCCGGCCTTTAGTCACATGATCCTTTTTTTTAGGAATTTATAACAATTTAAAAAGTCTTTACAGTCACTTTTAATGCATCTTCGCTGAATAAAAATATTAATTAAAATCTTATTGACCCCAAACTTTTGAATGCCACTGTATGATATTAACGTTTTGACATACAGTACTGTACTGAATATTGCAAAAGCCATATTTTTTCTTTACTTGACAGTATATCTGGATTTGTCATATTAATGACATGAAAAATTACAATTCTGCAACGCATTAATGCAAATGCTGTAATCGTGGTTGAAAAGCATAATGATACATGCCACAGTATATTGATCCATTACATCACGTTAGATATCTCAGAAATAAGTGGCATTTAAAGTGGTAAAGCAGAGAGCATAATTCACTGTGAAATAACAAGGAGACCTGGTTGATTGTATAGAGGGTACACATAAAACGCTTGTACAAGGATCTTTAAACCCGGCAGTTACACTCAGCAGAAATGGAACAAATTACGGGAAACTGAAAACAATTTGCCCTAAAGTAAAAGGAAACAGAAATGACAAACAACAGACAACCCTCAGCTGGAAGGTCAAGAGCAGATTTTTCTCATCTTTCTCTGCATCCCCTCGTTTCTCTGTTAACCACTCTATCCTTCCCTCTCTTTTTTCTTAACAACTCTCATATAATGAATGTTCCTGCACAATTAATAAAACTTCACAGCGAACACCTACATTTATGCAATGGTTCATGTAAATTTAGCAGTCTAAATCAATTATTCCTTTAAAATGTTTGGCATTTTTGAGGAATAATTCACCCCAAAATGATGTAATAATATGCTCAAATTTATGTCATTCCAAAACTGTATGACTTCCTTTTTTTTTTTTTGTCTCTGAGACATATTTGATTTTTTTTTTTTAAATGTCTTTTTTTTGTCCCCACAGTGGAAGTCAATGGAAACCATAAGGGTTTACCGACATTTTTCAAAATATCTTCTTTTGCATTCTGCATAAAAAAAAGAGAAAGTCATACATGTTTGGAACGATGATTAATTTAATTTTTGGATGAAGTTTTAACTCCTTTTAAGTGCTGTTTTGTAACAAAATATTTAATCAGCCTAAATTCTGCCTATGGTGTTTACATTTTGCTACATAGAATGCATTTACTTAAATATAAATTCATGATTAATGATAATCAGCTCCCAGTTCATTAGATATGTTTGGGACCACTTCATATCAAAAGGAACAAGAGAACAGAATGAGACATCATACACTGTCTTTCATTTGTAGCTTGGCAAACTGCAGTTTCAACATAGCTTCCCCAACACTGCAGTGAAGACATTTGCATTTCCTGAAGCAAATACCTGCACTCACAAGGTTGCAAAAGAATCGTGTTCGGTAAGCTTAGAATCTGTACTTTAGTTCTGTGAAAAATTAAATGCTGCATCAGTCACTTGCTGTTGTCATGACAATAAGTATGCATCTTGTTTTCTGTTGGGTGAATACAATAATCAACAGCAGTACATGTTTACGTATACGCAGGGAAGGCAAGACCAATCACAATTTAATGTGCATATATTATGACGACATCATCACTACTGGTAACGTTTTTAAATATTTTCCAGAAAATTTTAGGATCAATAACACTCTCCCACCTTGCAAGCACTATAACAAATTCTGAAAGCCATTGAATAAAATACAAAATAAAGAACCCAAAACAAGCAAACCTCAGTGTGCTTTTGTGCATTTGTGAGAGTGTTTGACTCACCTGTTTCCAGTTGTCATACACTAAAATTGTGCTGTCCTCATCATCCACATTCACTCGCCGCTGGTAACCCTCATCTGCAACACACACAAAATAATTTCTATTAGAACTGACACTCAAGCATAGAACGAAATCACTGGTGTTCTATTAGCATCTAATTTTATTCCTGCAATTGAGCCGAAACTGGCAATTTCACAGGATCAAACGTATAATAATATATCTGTGGGAAGAATACAAAAGAAGTTTTGAAAGGTAAGTTCAGAATTGGACTCGAGACAGTTGCATAACAATAATTTATCCAGTGCAGAATCGATGCATAAGCACACTCAACTCAGGTAAGAGAAAAAAACCATCTGTGTGTCTGATTGGCTCTTTATCCCTTAGTAAATGACATGCTCTGTTTGTGCAGAAAGTGTCTGTGCAGAGGCAGTACTCTGCTGGTTCTCTCCCACCTCACTAAGACACAAGATGATAAAAGACCTGAAATAAGATGGATGCCTTCATGGCACCCACTCCATTTTTTCCAATCAAATCCTGAGAGCCTTACACTAGTGATCTCGGGTGTCTGTGAGGTGATAAGTGTGTTTCATCCAAAGCAAATCTAAAAATAGTACAGTCCTTGGCATCCTGATGCTTGATGCTGAGCATAAGAAGAGTATACTAATATAATCTTTACCGGCTGCTTGGGTTTCAGAGTCTATAGAGAGTGATCTGTCTGACAGTCCAGCAAGGCAAAGTGCCAGAGAGGATTTGCCCACTCCGTTTTGGCCCAGTAGTACTATCCGAAGGGGTCCGTGGTACTTTTGCTGTGGCGGTTTTGGGGAAGGAGAATCTTGGATATTGCTGATGCTGATTTGCGGAGTCGCAGGCGCGTTGAGCCCCGGCGTCCAATCGTAATCCTCGGACACAGCTTCCTCTCGCCTTAGCTGATGCTTGATTGGCAAGGGAGTGCTGCCCCTGCGAAGCGGGGGCGCAGCTGATAAAGTTAAGCCAAAACCCTGTGAAAACCGAAGACAAAGGCAAAGTCGTTCATCCAATAAATCATCAATGACAGTCCTTTATGATATCTAAATTAATAAGGTATAGAAACAATCCATGTGCAAGGGGGGAGGAACGTGATCCTCTGGGACTTTAGGGTTGTGCACTCTATACGAAAGTGGGTCAAAACACTGAGCAGTGTGTCCATTCACATAAACAAGCATCACTTGCTTTAAAGGAGCAGCATAAACATCCCAACAGACCAAAAAGATGAGGAACGTAATGAGTTTTCTCAGTCTCAGGGCTGTTGAGGGCTTCGTCCATCTATCTCCATCAAGCAAAATCACCAAGAGAGCTCTTAAACTGTTTACCATGTTTGCTCGCAAGGGCTACTGGCATCAATATTAATATGGCAATTAATCTAGCCACAGCACTGCAGGTGTGCTGGGGACCTTGTACGCCTGATCCGGTGTCAGACATCCAAGACACACATAGACAACCAATTAAAGTAATTGAAAGGAGGTAATTAATTAATTATAATCTTTATTGTGGGACAGACAGTGAAACAATAGGATGTAGTATTTTGCTTGGAGTGAGGCAAGCTCTTAACAGTTTTTTTTAATAATAAATTTTTTTTAAAATCTGAATTTTAATCATGAATATTGAAGCAGTATGCAAATCATTATGATTATAAATAATTTCTCGACTATAACAGGAGAACTTGCAAATATTATTAAGTTACAGTGATTATAATGATCAACATAGCTATTTTTGACCGTTTTTATCAATACAAGGATACTAAACTATAATATTAGAAATAAATCTAGGACTGTCTCAGCACAGGAATGTTTTCAAACAATCACTCCTACAGAAACAAAGGCTGCAGAAGAAGAGAGGGTGTGTTCACACCGGCGTACATCCCAATCCTGTGAAGGACCCTACAACACACACACACACACACACACACACATACATACACACATATACACACACACACACACACATTTCTATATTCAATCAAAATGCAACTGATAAGTTGGGGAGGTTTGAAATTAAATGCTTGTACAGTAATAAAGCAATTCATGAATCCACAACAACAGCTCAAGCATTCTCAGCACGCACACCTGTACACTAATGCTGAAATTAATTGCTTGTTGAAGCACTCATGCTCTCTCACTCCCTCTCTCTTTCATTCTCTCCATCTCCTCGAGAAAAAAAACCCGGCTCAGTTCATAAATGGAGAGCGGCTATAAAGCACATGTCCATGTGCTTGCACTTTCTACTTGTCCACCTGCTCAAACTCATTGCAGCACGCATGTTACGCTAAACAAACATGCTTTGACATGTTCCACAGTCAAGGAGCAATCCATATCCCAAGTATGTATAAACAATCAGACAGCAGCCTTTGTAGAGTTTGGCAGGTGAGCTCAGAGGACGGAGAAAGAATTCCTGGCGTTAAGACGGGTGTGTTGCAACTGACATCTATGGGTCAAAACCCACTGCACCCACACACACACACACACACACACACACACACACACACACACACACACACACACACACACACACACAGTCTATATACACACACGGGAAAGCGATGATCTTACCTGGTCCGACATCGTTCTTCAGTTCATCTGCTCTCAGTGAGACATTCCGCCGTCCATGTCATGTCACTGAGCGTCAAACACTGCACAAGCGTCGGTGGGGATTGTTACATTACACTCGACTCATATGCCATCACATGTAGTCTGAAAAAAAAGAAGCGCTCCCAATGTGACTCTAACTGCGCAAAAATGTTCCTTTTTTCTCACGCTGACTTAATAGTAGACATTTAATCTCTTCTCTGCGAAAGGCTGCGCTGTGTGACTCACGTATTACTATACACCTGTAGTGGCTTTTCATATGAGAGCGTGTAGCCCCGCCCCCGCACCGTAGACACGCCTCTTCATTCCAGTCGTTACCTGAATGCTACCAATCTCTCTGGATCTCTCTCTCAATCTCAGATCCAGGTAACTATTTTTATTTCTAGTTTTATATTCTATTTATCGATATGTTTAATGTTTATATTCTATTTATCGCTATTTTTAAAAATTCTAATGCTGCTCTGGAAATTCCATTTATTGGACCCCTAGATTGGGGTTGGTTATAACCCATTTTATTATTTTTATAATTGTTTTTTTCGTAAAATGCATTAAAATGTGTTATGTTATGTTATGTTATGTTATATATATATATATATAAGGATAAGGATAAGGCAAAGGATAAGTATCGCTTTTTATTTCTCCTCTTTCCTATACTTGTTTCACTTCTGTTTCAGTTTTTTATAACCATTTCTTACTATGTGTAAGTAAGTTGTTATTTTTTAGCACGTGTGTTTGGCAATGTTATTTTTTGGATTACTGATAAACTACTGTCGTTTGATTTGTATTATTTGTATTTGTTATTTATTTTAATTTTAGTTACATTATGTCTGAATTTATTCTGTCTGTATAGGTATTTAAGTTTTTAGTTTTATTTAATTTGAGTTATTTTAATACTTCAACAAACTAAATGGAAATGAAATAATATATATATTGAATTTATAAATGTG